GTCCCCCACTGTAGGGAGCACTGTAAGGCCTTCCATAAGCCTGCATTGCCCCACATAAATACTCCAACACCCATTTTTACTAACGTAGAACAAGGCATAGCTTAACTAGGATACGCCTAATATTACGAATCGCCTGAGCAGATTAGTTTAATTCCAGATAATTATTTTCTTTTATCAATTGACATATTTATGATCTGTCATATACGCAAATGTCCAGCGCAAGGCACCGCATAACGAATATATAACTTTAGATATATTATAACTTTAGACATTGCTTAACGTCGTTAGGTGGTTCCTAGTCAATGGTGAAATGCATTTTTACCTTAGGTGATTCCTAAATATTTAGACGACAGATTTGGGCGGCTCCTTGGTTTAGTGAAAAAAGGCATAAGTCACTTAACTATTCTGATGCTGCTCTCACTTTTAAAAAATATATTAGTAGGGCAGAAGACCCGGATTTGGCATCTCATTACTATTATATTACTTTACTATCAATGGTTTTGAAAATGTTGTTTTCTGGCAAAACTAACACCGGTGACAGCTGTAATGTGTCTAAGAACACTTCCTTGTAACTCATGTTAAAATTAGGCCAAAATCAGGTTATTTGCCCTACAGTATACAAAAATAGAAATGGATAATACTGCATTGCGCCGCATAATTGCGCTAACTCACTCCGACGCGCTCATACTGCTCTCACATTTACAATACGTATTGGCGTAGCGACACATGACATGGATCTGGAAAATTTGACGGATGAACAAAACGACAGCAAGTTGATTAGTCTCTGAGCGATCGATTCAACTGAGGTATGAAGTGTAATTGGTACTCTAATAACTTAATCTAATAAAAATAAAATAAAAAAAAAATAAAAATAAAATAAAAATAATGTTGGAGATGGGTGGCGCAATAAAAAACTGGTAGAATTCCTCAGTCTTGATTTTATTTGCAATTGGTATAACATTAAATCACGTACAACGAAATACTATGATACTCACTCTATGCCGGTCTCGATCAGAAAAAAGATTTGTCAACCAGCAAAACACGAACACGTGAATTGGAATACGGAAAAAGTAATAATTTAAAATATTAACGGCCAGCATTGACCATAAACCGTCCGAAGAGTAAACCGAAGGGTATAGTAATGTGCACGGACGTTACAGTACCGAATGTTGACTAGTGAAGTAATTTATCCTCCTTTTAATTTCAATTTTTTTTTAATGGTAAAAAATTAATAGTATCGTAAAGTGTTAATTGTCAGTGGGTGCAGAAAATGTCAACTTAGACTCGAAATCCTGTCTTAAATATTTGTTTTCTTAAAAAGGTAAACATTGTTGAAAGTTGTAACACAAAACCATGATTCATTGAGTAAGATTCATTACTCGTTGTACGGTAAGTCTTTTTCGCAATAAATAAATAAAACAACCATCCGATCCACTGAAAAGCGCTTTTGTTTTAATTTCGCATGCTTTTGGACGTTTCCGAACCTTTGTGGTTTTGCGGTACGTTGAGATGTTAAGAACCAACTCGTCCGAAATTTTTCATTACTTTTATTAAATGCGTAAGTATTTTTCACGTAGTTTTTAAATTACAAAATATGTTCTAAATTGAGGATAATTTACTAATGTTATTAGTAAATTACATTCTTCCGGTACATTCCAGTACATTCTTTAGAATAATACATAATTATACATAGTACAAATCAAAGTCTCTTCCTACTGTCTATTCGGTGACATATTTTAAACTACAAAACGGAGTTCAATACAATTTTCAACTACGCAACGGATTTTGATGCGGTTTTTTTTCATAGATAGGGTGATTGAAAAGGATGGTTTTTATGTATAATACAATACCATGCGGGCGAAGCCGCTGGCGGAAAGATAGTCTGTATAATAAAGGACATGCGGGTGAAGCCACTGGCGGACAGCTAACGACAAATCGGTTTGTAAAAAGTATAAAAAAAGAACATCTAAAGGAAAAAAAAATATTTCCGGATGTAATCCATACATCACTTTTTGAACCTATGTTATACATTTTTATTTAATAAGAATTTTTCAATCTCCTCATTCACGGTACTAATTCACAGTTCTATTTATCTAGAGCCTATGGAGAGTTCTTTAAAGTAATTAGCACATAAAATAGTACTTACAATATTTATTTTTTTATTCGGGAATGAAATTTTTGATATCATGCTGATTTGGTGCTAATTGTAGGTATTTAATTTGTCTTTAAAACATAACACAACATAACTTTAGTCTAGATTAAATAGAAGTTCAGTGTCGATGGTTATGTGATATTTCAAAACATTTGATTTATAATATGGTTTTCAAATATTGTTCAGGGAAATATGGTTGATGACAATAAACCATATTTTTTATAAGGTTTATAATTAAATTCAAGATTCGAAAAGCTTTTTTATGACAGTCATAACGTTCTTTGCTTGCAAAAGACCAGTTGACTTAATCTTTACTTTGGGAGATTAGGCACGATCGCCATTTTCTTGAGTCCACTGGATGGTTACATTTATTTGTGGATACTCTTCATTCCTTTTTCGGTTTACCAACATCATTTGTTATTATGATTTAGGATAATTTATGTAATTAATGTTCATGATTTTGCTCCAATAGTGATTAAATTCTCTTTTGATGTCAAAAACGATAATAACTAATTATCCATTTCATTTCCTAAAATAATTTCGAATCACGTGAACGAAAATAGTTTTAACAAAGTATGTTTCAGTTTCTTGTTATTTTAATAATGGCTCATGGCCACTAATGGTGTCTGATTTAATTTGCAAATTTCATGTTCAAAACTTTAACTGTAAAATAGTGTGACAATAAAGTGTTCTTATTATTATTTTGTTGTGATCTCTCAGCTCGAAGCTGGCCAGTTCCATGTAATGACGGGCACAAGCCAAGTTATTACATTCTTCAATTTATTAAATCATTTTCCTGTTCTTCGGACTGCATGAACCTTCTGACTATGCGGCACGTATTCAGAATGGCGGCCTTCTGTAAGTACTGAATTTATTTTAGATTTAAATTTTGTCCTTTGATTTCACATAAAATGACTAAAATGAATTATTATATTTGATACATGACATTGACAATAATCTACCCGCTCACTCTGGACAGGGTGACGACTGAAAAACGGTGCTTCGCCCATTCTTGGGTGATTTACGTGCACCGAGCCTTGAGCCTTATCCTAACGCTACACACAGGTATATCACGTATTCTGTTCTTAGCTGTTCTTTGTATTGTACGAGTTTGTGATGTAGTTGTGTGTTGTTGTCTGAACAAACTATTTATCTATCTATCAATTTTGCATTCACCATTTTTTTTATTCTATGTATGTTTTGTATTTGGTGTTAACAATAAAGTGTTATCTATCTATTTTAGCATCTTTCATTAAGAGTATATATAATTTTAAGTAGATTTATATTATTTATTTAATAAATAACTTTTGACTATGGTCTGTGATCCAGGGTTCGACCTCCTACCTATCTACCCATCACTCTAACCATAGGATAGTACGACACTTTAGCGATATTTTGGCGATTTATTACTCTTACTTATTTTATTACTCTGAAATATACTGTAATATTGTTAAAATGATATAGAGTGATAATTATGTATCTGATATCAAATTAATCGTTAGTTCACCAAAAAGACGTGTTGATATTTCTTCTGTTCTATTATTTAATAGCATTTCGACTAATTTCTCTAACCGGGTCGGATTATCTTTCCTTATTCAATTTTGAACTCTACTTCGGATGTATTAAGGTTTGTGTGTTTTTTGCTAGTAAATGTACGCGTATGATACTTATTAAAGTTACTCACTATGTGATCATAATTTATACTGTCTTGCCTCAAACATTTCCCAAGTGAAGCTATAACGTATAATCTTATGTTGCCTAAATTGTTTAATCCCCAGTGAATTGCTCAATATCTACGAAATAATAACGTGATTATTATATTACCCGTATGTTTCTGCTTATTTAAGTTAATATCTTAATAACTCGTGTAACTAATTTTGCTGTCTTATTATAAAACGAGTTTAGTACCAGTCTTTAGTCATTATCCGACCAAAATATACAACACGTCTCAATTTACCGTTTTCTATTCCATCATTGTCAATTTACTTTAGGCAGTTAATAGCTTAAACCAAATGTTAACCAAAAACTTTGGTTATAGAAATTTTGATGATCTGATTTCTTTTTTCTGATTGATACGATAGGTATGAGTTTAAAGGGTATATTAAAACTCATTTCTTTCAACGCATTTCCATCAATGTTTATCTAAACTCAATCCATCAATGTTCATCAACATTGATGGAGTTCACAGGAAAAATAAACTCGACCACCACCCCAGTTACAACCTAGTTCATAAGGCTGAAACCGCAGATATAGGTAAAAATACAAAAATATTGCTCGCTAGAATATATAGAATAAGCTATATTTGTATTGTGTTTTGACGGATTCGGACTGGTATTTTATCACAGTGAAATTGTCAGTTTCTAGTAATAGCCGGTAATTCTATTGATATAAGAGTTTGTGAGCGAACATTAGACAATCAATAATAAGTAGAGCAATAATAAGAAATTCAACAAGGAAAACATCGATAAACCGTTTTCCGTGTAGTTTTAATGGTCTGCGGTGGTTTTCCTATCTGTCTCCAACGGCAGCAGAACGTCCGTGTAGTATCGGCCTCATATAAAAATAACTATTTCCACTACAGTATATGATTTTAAAGAATAGAATCTCTAGTATTTTAATGAAGTTATTTGATAAATTATTTTCTAAAAAATAGAGGTATCTATATTGATTATCAATCAATAATTGCCTAAAAATTAAACTGTTATTAGTTACCTACTCATTATTGAGAATGCTATGCAGCTACAAAGCTTTATGTCTATTATTCAAGTGTTAATTTCAGTCATAATAAATAATTGATTGTAAATAATAGTAAGTAATAGGGTTAGTTAAAATCAGACTAAAATTTTTAAAGTATACGTTTTATTTAAGCTGTGGTTTACAACTCTTAACAACATACAGTTTCCATGAAACTTAATGGCTTTTAAATATTTACACTTAAATCAAATGCGATTACACCTTGACTATTATGTAGCTCTGAAAAACATTAACATATTAACTTCTTGGAAGTTCGCATCGAAAAGATAATAAATATTCATAAAACAAACATTTTATGCGGCAGGTTCTACAATATAGTTTACAAATGATAAAATAGTCCTTAATTTAATTTTTACACCATAAAACATTCCAGTAAAAATTTCACATAGCTATTCTTTACCAAAAATGTTATAGCTTACTTTAATTGCTACCTAATAACACAAATTTTATTTTACAATGGCAATCCGTCGTATTACACAATTATCCATTGATATAAAAACTGATAATATTATGGATTTATGAGAAGTCAGTCTTTACCTCACTAAAATTTAGAGAGCCGTTAACTAAACATGACTGTGAGTAAATGTATTAGCTGTATTATTAGTTGACCAATCCGGTAGTCTTTCGAACGTTATGTTCGGTGGCAGCTTACCCTTATGTCTGGATGCCTTAAATTTTCTCCGTGGCCCATCACGCTTTTCGACAGTCAAGATAGATAGAATGCTATTCCAAAAATCCGCTTCACCCCAAACCACCGATGTGCGTACATCCCTCTGCTCTTTCAAGAAAGCATATATAGAATTTTCTGGGCCTACATCGGCAAACACATAAACAGTATTTTCCGCTTTCGACATTTCACCGTGAATTTTCTTTATATTCACGTGACTGTAAGCTGACGTTAAGTAGTTTGGGGAAAACACGACAACTGTTGTGTATTTGTGAGCATCCTTGACACACATTTTCAGATTGCTCATAAATTGCTTGTTCCTTGTATTTGTGATGGGATTCATGTGTATTTTTATTTCCTTTTGACTCTTCAATCCTGGTATCACCTCTTTTAGTATAAACTCTTCGTCGTGTTCACTGTATTTGACCATTATGTCCGATTCGTTTAAATGTGGTGAACGATCTATCTTCCTCTCTTTTCTCTCGCAAAGTTTCTTCTTGATTAATGTGTTCATCTGTTTTTTATATACGACGAAGAGTATTAGCGCTATGATATACAAACAAACGAACATTGTGATGAACGATGCAATTATGACAAATCTCACGCGGCAGGATTCTCTTGACCAAATGGGACAAATGACTTCTTTCATATCGACGACCTAAAAAAAATTTAATTGAGGTTTTAAAAAAAAATACGTTTTATATAATCCAGTACTGCGGAAACACAAAATTGCTACTATAATCTTACCTTAGTTTTTGAATGCTCAGTCAAATAATCAAGAAATTGAAAATTCTGACATTCACAATCTAATGGATTATTTGAAACCCATACATTTTTCAATGGTTTTTTAAATATATCATTATAACCGCGTTTTGAACGAGCTGTCATTGTATTATGTGCATCCTCGTCCTGTAAGAAAAAAGCAAAGGCATTAATTACAGTTTGTCTCTCTACGATATTTATATATACTATGGAGCAAATTTTAGAGAGTAACCCACATTTTTTCCGACGATAAGTTTTTTAATTATGAGTCAATTTATGAGAAGATTTTGTATATAATAGATAATATATTTTTGTTTTATTATTATTGCATAACGATAACTGAAACGTAATTCATATAATTCAAAAGGTTTAATTGGTACTAATAGAGGTAGAAGTGGGTCTCCACACCCGAACGAAAGACCTAAGTAATACAAATATAAAACAGGGAAACTTTTCCTGAACATTTTATATATTTATGCCTACAACATAGCAAATAGCGGATTTTATGACAAAAAAACAGTGAAGATGTACAGAGCATTCAAATATTGTAAGCTTAAAATAATCCTCACCCATAGTTTATGTATATTATTGTAACTGATATCCAAATTATCATGTCCATTCATCCACCAATCTTCGAACGTCATTTTAAATTCATTGTGACTCAAATTTAATAATCTCAAATTATATGTATGAGCGAACGGTGAGATTTTATTGATAACCCACGAATTGTTATTCAATTCTTTGTACTCGAAATTCAATTTGTTGTATGCCAGCGATACAGACATTCTTTGTTTATTGTTACTGAACAGGTACGAAGATATTGTTTTCATATTATTATGTTCCAAATCTAAATAAATTAGACTGAACAATGATGAGAAAGTTGATCTGAAACAAAACGATGTTTTAACTGCAAAAGGTAATTATTATAACTTTATTTACCAACATCATATAATTATCTTACCCACTGACTTCCAAGAGCGAATTGTAACGTAAGTCAAGACTTTCAAGTCTTACTAAAGAGCTAAATATCTTTGGCTCCAGTTCTCTCAGTTGGTTGTGACTTAAATCTAATTCCAGAAGGTTTATCTGATCGTTGAAAACTGCTTCTGGCAGGACGCCGATGTCGTTGTAGGCGAGCGATATGTTTGTAATCGATGGTGAGTCGGCAAACACATCGTAAGGTATTTTTTCAAGTCCACATCTCTGAATGTAAATCACTTTTAAATTTGTAAGATTACCAAACATATGTTTTGGTAGTTGTTTTAATTTCACATCATTGTTCAGAATGACGACCGTCTCTAATTCGATATTGTTCTTGAACAAATTCTGTGGTAACGATGAAAACTTGTTCGAGAATAAAGTTAGTTTCTTTAATTTCTTAAGCGGTTTGAATATCGAACCAGGAAGCTCGTTAAGTCCATTAGAACTTAAATCCAATTCTTCGAGAACGTCAACCCCGGTGAAAAAATCTTTAGAGAACCAGGTAACGTTACTCTGCCATAATGAGAGCTTCCGCAAGAAAGATAAATGAGAAAATAAATTCGAAGATATATTGGTCATATGATTATGACTTATTTCTAATGTTTCTAACCTTTCAAGAGGCTTAAATAGCTCTTCAGATAGATTTATACTATTCGAACGTATATTTAGCCAAGTCAACTTATTTATATCTTCGAATAAATTGTTTGGTAAATGAGTCACTCCATTTACAGAAAGTAACAATTTTGTCAGATCTTGTAATCCTGCAAAATGCTTCCTATTAAAGTATCCTGATAAATTTTTTGCGTTTTGAAATATCAATGCCATAGTTTTGGACACTCCCATACGTGTCAGTACATCTTTGAATGACGTTGACGGTATCGGACAGTCTTTAAAACTGACTGATTTAAATGAATTAGTAATATTGGCACATTTTGGTAATTTACTGTAATCGAGACTTGAACTATTCTCACATTTTATGTTCATATAAGTGTTTGGTAACAGATTGATTTTCACTGTTCGTCCTGGAATAAAGAGGTTTTTTAGTTTCATATTCTTTTTAACTGATATAAAATATATACAGTGATTAAATAACATTAAGAAAACAACATGTTTTGTATATATATTTTGTTACAAATGAATTGTCAAATTTATGTAAAGATACACAAAGAATTTATTGTCAATCAATGTCCCAATTAATGATAAGCTGCCAGCCCGTCGATTCGCGTAATAGGTAACACAAAAACCTTTTATTACCCAACACAAGCACACCACAACTATATAATAATTTATGTGAACACATTCACAAAACAAAATAACTTTTATTCTATTCAATAATATACTTTTGAATTCCACACTCAACAATAACGTGCTATAAGAAAGAAACATTAGACAGCATTTTATACACTGTTCATATATAAAAATAAGTTGCTAAAGAACATTTTATGAAAATCTCATCACAACCAGCCCTTTTACGTCCCCATTGCAGGGGCTCAGGCCTTCCTTATGGATGGTTAAGGAGGATGGGCCATGACCCTCCACGCTGACCCAATGCGGATTGAAGGGTATTAACGACTGCAAATTCAGCCGGGACCAACGGCTTAACGTGCCTTCCGAAGCACGGAGTAGCTTGAGATAATAATTTTTTGGTCACCCATTCCGTGACCGACCCTTGCGAAAGTTGCTTAACGACTTCGATCGCGGGCCGGATCCACTATGCCACCGAACTACTGTTTATTATGAAAATCTAAAACAATTAAAATACAACGATCCATAAACAGTTAGCATAGTAAAGACCTATCGGTGACAAACGTTATAAAATTGTAAATCGAATTTGAACTTCAAAAAAAAGCAAAAGGATTGTACAGCACTACAGCACAATTTAAGTGCACTCACCGTCGATGTTGCAATCGAGTTCGACAGCGAGCGTGCCGCCGCAAACGCAGTTAGGGTCACTTGGGCACATCAGCCTCGACGCCCGAATTATTTGAAGCGCCAACGCTGTCGTCAGCGCGTATACAAATTTGTAGCCCATCTCTAATCCTTTTACGTTCGCTCGCAAGTTTTATTTCCCATCAGTATGTTGCGGCTCTTCGTCTATGATATATTTTTTGTTCCTCCTTTTTCATCTTTCTTTATTGCATCTGTGAACAAAATAATTCGTTTATTCAATTTGAACTAATATAATGATTTATTTGCTTGAAAGTAACACACACACATTATGTTACTGAATTATATTACTGTTTATTATAAGAACTATATCTGAACTGAAGCAAATAAAATATTGCACAAACAATAACAATAAAAAAGTCCTTATAAAATATCTAACATGAGCGTCAGATTACATCATAAAGGAACAGAAACTGCTGCCGACAGAAAGCGATTTTTAATCCTGCCCGGAGCCAGATACTACTCGATTAAATTCATCAATTTATATAAAAAAAGGTTTTAAAAGTTACACTTTGAGTATTTGTAGTGACTTTAAATAAACAATATCGTAAGGCGTCAGGATAAAATACTCGTGACAACACAATGATCCTGGGAAAAAAATTGCCATCGTTACAAATAGTTAATGACCCATTACTTTTTCTGATACATTTCGTACTTCCATAATATTCAGTCATCAGAAACGTTTCCCAGATCTGAAATATATTCCACTACTGATAATTTATAGGTAGACTGACAAAAAGTGAAGCAAGATAAATTGCTACGATGGCGAACACGTAGGTTGGGAGCTCCATCGGCCGATAGCCAGTTATATCGGTCCAATGGACGCGAGTGTTTCGATTATTAATATTTCCTCTTCACAGACTAGATTCATTGGAAACATCGATTTTTATTGTTAAAGGCTCGCTCTGTAACTTTAATTTACAAAATATCTTTGTACAAAATATAAGGTAAGTTTCGAATATATTTATTTTGATAATTTACCATCCCATGAAGGATGTTTCTCTTTGTTTTTATGTAATCTATGTGCTTATCAATTGCACGAACAACGTAATTTATTTTCATTTCGGAGATATAGTATTTGTTCAATTTTGAATTATTTTTCCTTGATTTATTTATATAATGAACTGTAAGCATATCAGGGGTTGTTAATTTTTTGCACATTGTATTATCATGTCATCAGAAAAACATTTGACTCGTGGAATAAATTCCTTGCAGAGTTTTATCCATAAGGTCTGGATAAAACAAATTTGAAGACAATGCTGTTATATATTTATTTATTCGTCATTAGAATACAGATATGTATTCACTTACTGATATACGACAGTTTAAACATAATTTTAAACGCACATTATCTGCAAAACTAATGAAGGTAATCAAACAAAACATGAGTGGGTACGTAGAGTACAATCTTTTAGAAACGCTCTATTATGGGAATCGGGAAAGATGGCTAATTGTTCTTATTTAACTCACTGCAAAACGTTCATCCTAAGGTAACAAAATTTCACTTCTCAAATTATATAATAAAATGACGATAAACATTAACATCGATTACCTAAAGATAGTCCAGAAGTTTCAGAAAAAAACTTTAAAAAAATTGAACCTATTTCAATCTTTAAAAAAAGGAGAATATAATACTTATCTCAAAAGCGACTTATTCAAGAAAATTTTGTAAGTTTAAAGTCGGTTCCCATTTTTTTAAAGTTTATATTTCATACTTTTTAGTGATATTGATATTTTTCTTAAATAATAAGCAATGGGCACTAATTATACTTTTCTAAAAACCACATCAAAATCTGTTCGGAGATAATCGCGGACAATACATACAACACGAGTTAAAGTGCGAACCTCTATTTTTTAAGTCGGTTAATATACGTAAAACTTCGTAAGTCTGCCAAATACTATGCTGAAAACCGTATCCAAATCGGTTCAGCCAAACGCGAGATAATCGCACACAAACATACATACATACAGGTAAAACTGAGAACCTCCCTTTTTGAAGCCGGTTAAAAATCAACTGACAAGTAAACGGACAGGCCTATAAAGGCCCATTGTCTGCAAATGGGGCATTGAAACTTTCGAAAACGCAAAAAAATGCAATTGAATTTTATGATTTCCCGAACGTTATCTATTAACTTGTAGCAAACAAATTTATTTACGGTTGAAAGGGCATGTTATGTTCGTCATCGAAGCAATTTCCTTGAACGTATTTCACAGTGAGGCAATAAATTTTATTCGATCGAAACCTAATCTAATGGCCTTACAAATCGTGCCTTCACCTTCTAATCGGGGTATAGACCAGGGATATTACTCTATTTCAGGGGTTGTCAATACTAACTTTTTGTATAACTTGGATCAAAGAGAGACAATTTACAAACAAGCGGCGTTGGGAATTGAAATGAAACAAAATTATTTTTTTCTTTGTTAATACAAAACAAATTATTTTGTTTGAAATTGACAGCAGGAGTAAACTGTACCAGACACAATGGAATGATAATAAAAAACTATGTTTGATCGCCACATAAAATCCATACGCAAACATATCACTTAAATGTGATCGTAACTTACAAACGTGACATCTTCAACTTTCTCGAATATATTGAATGTAAGATTTCTTCATACAAAATAAATTATAAACATAAACTCGGATAATATTTATTTGGTGAAAGCATTTGAATGGCATTTGCGTATTCGCAATCCAAAATTTATAAAGACATATGTATTATTAAGAGACACAACACAATACACATATGTAATATCGGATGAACATGACCCCAATAATGGATATGATTTTAAATAAACTTTTTTAGGTTGTAAAATTAGTTATTTTGAAAGTTTTGCACACAATGTTATATAATAAGACTTACAGTGAGAATTTAAAATAAGTTCAAATATATTATTTTGAAAGTTTTTAATGGGGCCAAAAACGGGACATCTGCCTTAGTTATCTTGTGCTTGAGATATCCGTGAGTTCTTTTAGGTCTAAGATAGCATAAAGAGTTTGTGGGTGAGAATCCCATCTCGGGGTATTTGGGGTTGATTACTTAAAGATAAAAAGATACAGACCAACAACTTTACGTGCCTTCCAGAGCACGGGGGAGGTCGAAATATAAAATTTTTGGTCACCCATCTTATCACCGGCTTTACGAAAGTTGCTTAACTGCCTTATCTTAGACCCAACGCGCTTACCATATAAGTGTTTTATAGATTATTATTAACTATCCCGGCAAATGTTATTTTGCCCTATGAATTGGAGGTGGACTTTGAAAAATTTTTGGATTGGAAAATAGATAAATACCTATTTTCAAACTGAATGGATATACGTATCAAATTTCATCAAAATTGGTTAAGCTCGGAGGCGTATGGTAACTAAAACTGTGAAACAAGAATTATATATATATTAAATTTTGGAATATAAAATATGGTTTTATCGATTGTAGGCATATCATCGGTATGCATCCTTTGTCAATAGCTAAGCTATTTAGATGCTGATTGTATTTTATTTTTCACAGGATTCTTGAATAGGATTTATTTGCTTTTGTCTGTCATCAATACACTCTTTAATTTCCAGCAAGACAATTTTAAATACACTTTTGCGACTGACTTCTAAAATCTATGTAAATATATTTATCTGAGAATTTTTTTTTATATTTATAATATACCTCTAAACAAAAGTTTTTATAAGCTTGCTAGTAAACAAACATAAATATATTAACACATTTATTTTTTTAAGCAACATGTAATAAACATTGTTTAGTTATACATCGTTTTGTCTTTTTCGTTCGAACCGAAAATCACATTAACCAGCTACATACATACGTGTAACAAATATTATAAATTTCGTATTATTAAGAATTATTATGGCGTATAAATGTCTCGATTGCTAGGGCTCAGACCGTCCCTATAAATAGAGTCGAATCAAATCGAATATGGGGAATTTGTATTTTTATATTAAACCTACACAGGCACCAGTCTCCCACAAATGACTCTTAATAGGATAATCTTATTGTACATCCTTTTATAACGTTGTTTGTGGTGGAAATAAACATTATTCTTATTATATAATTACTGAGAAACAATTTGTATAAAGTGCAAACAAAAATATGAATAAATCAGTAATTTTAAGCGATTTTTTTTTATTCTACTATCGACAATAAATGAACCCTTTGTAATAACATCTTAGAAAAACTAGACACAAAGGTCGTATACATCCAAATAAAGTTCTTTATTGCCTTACCAAACAAGATTTTTGTTATTCGGAACTTTTATGCTTAAATCACACAAATCTTTTGGACAACTCGTACATTTATGTTCGTTACATGTATGTTCAATATGTCTAGAAATTTTATCATATTGTTTTATTTAATAGATGGCGTAAACTTTTACAAATATTGTAAATATTCATAAACCCATCAGCTAGAAAGTGTTTCACATATTTGACTATTTTGCCTATAAATAATGAATTTTAGGGGTTACTTCGTGACATTTTTTTTAAACTTTTATAAATTCAAGTTTCGTCATGACAGAACCCTTACTAATATGACTTAATTTTCTCACTTTTAATTAAAATTTAGTTGGATGTTATTCCTACGTCACCTCTTAGTATCTCTTAGTATCTCCTTGGACAATTGACGTCACACCCGTGTGTCCTTAATAAGTTTACATATCTAACACACCTTTGCTTATAATTTTTTTTCGTTTTCTATTTTCCAGAGATTTAGAAACAACGTGCACACTCGAGTTCATCAGTTTAATTAACTGGTGCTGAGTAATAATGATAAAAAAGGTTTTATTGCACATAAAATAATCCAGTTAAAAAAAATAACACATTCAGAAGACAAAGAGTAAAAGATGCGGCCTTATTGCTAAATAGCAATCCAAGCAACCTAAAATCGTTATATTAAATCGTAGTAAACGTTAATCTAATTAAATAAACGGATAATATACATTCAACATTATCTAAGGGACACCCCTAATAACGCTCATTGTGTTTGCCCAAAAAAAAAAATGCTAAAAGCCAACTAAAATACGTCGCACGATTGATCAGTACAGACCGAATGTAATTTAAACCAATTTCATTTGGCCTTATTAGGCAACAGTACAATCAAAAACTAAATATAATAAATTTCGCTCTACAATCCATAGCATTCTATGGTCTAGACATTTGAGTCAAGTAACAAATCATGTCAGAAACGTA